TCTTTGAGACAGGGTCTCCCTGTAGCCCCAGCCGTCCTGGAACTCATTATGTAGACCAGGCTGGCCTTGAACTCACAGAGATCCGCCTGCCTCTGCCTCCCAAGTGCTGGGATTAAAGGCGTGCGCCACTGCGCCTGACTTATTTTTATTTTATGTGTATGAGTGTTATGCCTGCATGTAGGTAAGTGCACCCATGTTGTGCATTGCCCACGGAGGACAGAAGAAGCTGTTGGATCCCCTGGAACTGGAGTTACAGACAGCTGTTAGCTGCCATGTGGGTGCTGGAATTCGAACCAGGTCTTCTGCAAGACTAATCAGTGTTCTTAACCGCTGAGCCATCTCTCCAGCCCTGACAATTCTATTCTTAAAGCAACTAGAGAAAGCTGTAAGACAGCTCCACTTGTTAAAATGAAGAAAAACAAGAGGCTTTCGGCTGTGGAACATGAAGTAACACATCATTCTTGGGGGACCCCAAGCTGGAAATGCCTACTGCTTGGTCCCTGGTCTACGTCACCCTGGCCTGTTATTTGTGGTACAGACTTGCAGATGAGTAACAACCAGGACACGGTGCTCACCTTCACAACGTCCCGCTTGCTGTCATCACTGAAATGGGCGGTCCCCACCACATACACCCTGCTCCCATCCTCTGCCACCAGTTGGGTCACGGTGCGTGGAAGGTTGGGCCGCTCCCGCCGTCGCTTCAGCTTCATTTCCAGGAGTAGGTTGAGGGCGTCCACGTCAGCTGCGGCAATAGCAAAGGTCACGGCGGGCCGAGGTGTGAGGCTAGGGGACAGCTGCCTAGGCTGCAGACGCAGCCCGGGTCCTCAGTGAAAACTGCACCTCATAGGGCACATGCTCCCTGACAAGCAGTGCACTCTACACGATGGCTTGCCCAGATGACTAGACAGGCTACCTGATCACATCTATGGGTTATTAACTATCTAGGGGGTCTGGGAAGGGACTTTGTTCTCCTCACTGCACCCAGGTTGCCATAGAACGCAGGGAATGGGGGAGCAGTGGAAGACCAGGCTCCCTTGGAGGTGTCCCAGTCACATGCATGGCAGGATTCAGGGATGGGTTTGAAGCAGAGGCTCAGTGCAGGCACAAAGTGGAAGTCAATCTCAGGGATTACAGGGCACCTAAGTGTAGTGAGGGGCTCCTGCGGCCTTTACCGCCCCCCTCCGCCCCTCAGCCTGGGCAGGTCAGGACTGCCTGTGGCCATGCTCCGCTCACCACAGACTAGGCCCTCAACCTGACACTTCCTCCCACCTCCTCCCCAGGTCTAGCACTGTGTGTGCCAAGCCAAGTCCTGAAGGGACACATACAGAGGTTCTGAGAGTCTCCAGAAAGCACCCTTGGCACTGCTTCCGAAGTCCCTGATGTCATCACGGGTTCCATGTCAGCCTGCAGGGTGAGAGTTCAAATAGGTGTCTACACACCAACAGGTCAGACACTCTTCAGACGTGCACCACCTCAGCCAACTCAAGGCAGGGGCTACTTGTTTCAGGTCCTTCCAATGGAGGGGCTTCCAGCTGAAAGCTACAAAACCCTAGTTACCAGGTTAAGTATCTTCAGGGAAGTAGCCAAAGGGATCCAAAGGGGCCAGTTGGGACCCTTACCATGCTATATGAAACAGCATAAATGCTACTGGGTTGGGCCCAAGGTTGTTCAAGAAGATGCTCCATTAGCCCCCAGCTTTTCCTTACCTCCTGAGCTGGTCGCTCCTCCCCCTCCATGGCTGAGCAGCAGCAGCTTTGTGGCTGATGGAGGTCGCCTGATGAAAAACCGACATGGTGCTCACCTGCGGCCTCAGCCCTCATTGTGACAATAGGGCTGGGTCAGTCTTGAACGACTTGCAGGGTAGGACCACGGCTGCCTCCTGCTATGTATGCTGCTGAGGTCCAAGGTCCTTTTGGAATGAGCCTGGCTGGTGAGAGGCCAGCAGCCTCCATGAGCAACCTGTGAATGACTCTGTGGAGGGCAAATCTCCAGCACACTGCAGATGCCATAACCTACACCAGGAGCACAACGTAATGAAGCTAATTCTGATCAAGCTGCACTGACCAGAGAGGGGTTTACTGCAGGACACAATGCTGTGGCTACGGTTCCCATGGTGTGAACCACAAGGCCTCTGCGATAAAGCCACTTCAAGGAAACCCTCCACTCCTTTAGTAATGATGACAACAGAGTGTGACTATCAGACAGAGGAAGAGCCTGGCACAAGCAGACAGGTTAGCATCCACAGGGGCCAAGACAACGAAACCTAACAGAGAAGAAACTGTGTTAGAAGGCTGACCAGGGCTAGGTGGTTCCTTATAGTGTCTTTGGAAAGGAATGAGGGGCCCTAAGGGTGGGGGCCCAGAATGCCAGATGGTGTAAGAGGGAGAGCAACACACTGACCAGTGAGGACAAAGGCAGCATTGGACCACGGCTCAGTAAGGTCAGTGGACTTCATGTATCAGTGGGTGAACAGACACTTCCTTCCTGGCATAGCCATTAAAATATTCAGGGGCTGGAGAGATGGCTCAGTGGTTAAGAGCACTGAGTACTCTTACAGAGGACTTGGGTTCGATTCCCAGCACCCACATGGCGGCCACGAACCGTCCTTAACTCCAGTTCCAGAGGAATCTGACGCCCTCTTCTGACCTCCTCGGCACTACACGACGCGGGTGCACTCACATACATGCAGGCAATACACTCATACACATAAAATAAAAATAAATAAAATATTAACAACAACAAAACACTCAAGCCAGGAGAGGGAAAAATAATACATTCTTTTTTTTTTTTTTTTTTGTTTTTTTGAGACAGGGTCTCCCTGTAGCCCCAGCTAGCCTGCAACTCACTATGTAGACCATGATGGTATTGAACTCACAGAGATCTGCCTGCCTCTGCCTCCCAAGTGCTGGGATTAAAGGCGTGCGCCACCATGCTGGGCTAAAATGATACATTCTTAGCAAAAAACATGTAAGGCATTTCAATTCTATGTCTCCTGCTGTGCCTCACTAATTACATAACCTATTCCCAAACTCAAAATAACATTATCAATCATAATGTACAGTTTACCTAGAAACATTGAATTATAACATTTAACATGTTTCATTAAAAAACAAACAAACAAAAACAACCCCAAATCTGTGAGCACTGCACAGCACACAGGAGCTGACCTCAGGTCAGGAGTACTTAGCCGACACAATGGTCCTGACTTGAGAGAGCCCTTTAAAAGTGACAAGTCTGCTGGAAAAAATCTGACCCCTGGGTATTGTAATGTTAAAAAAAAAAATCTTACTTTTAGTTATGTGTATGTCTGTATGTGGGTTTGTACACATGAGTGTCCACAGAGGGTGTCAGATCCATTGGAGCCAGAGTTACAGGTGGTTGTGAACCATATGACTGACATGGGTCCTGGGAATTAAATTCTGGTTTTGGGGGCTGGAGAGATGGCTCAGCAGTTTAAAGAGCACTGACTGCTCTTGCAGAAGACCTGGGTTTGATTCCCAGCACCCACATGGCAGCTAAGAACCGTCCTTAACTCCAGTTCCAGGGGAATCTGAAGCCCTCTTCTGACCTCCGCGGCACTGCATGACATGGGTGCACTCACATATGTGCAGGCAATACACTCATACACATAAAATAATAAAAATAATAAATAAAACAAATTCTGGTTCTCTGGAAGAGCAGTACTCACTTTTTTTTTTTTTTTTGTCTTTTTGAGACAGGGTCTCTCCCTGTGGCCCCAGCTGTCCTGGAACTCACTATGTAGACCAGGCTGGCCTTGAACTCACAGAGATCTGCCTGCCTCTGCCTCCTGAGTGCTGGGACTAAAGGTGTGCACCACCACGCCCAGCAACAGCAGTACTTCCGCCTACAACTTCTGCACACCTCTCAGAACTTGCAGGCTCTTTTCCTCTAATGCTGCTGTGTAAATGTGACCCAGGGCCCTGATGTGATCAAACACCTGATGTGTTCAACATCAAAAAGGGGGCAGGTAACCCTACAAGAGGAGCTGGGGTAGGGCCCAGCATGGATTCTAGGGTGAGGATGGCAAAGATCCTACAAGAGCCTCTGAAACCTTGTGGTCCCAGCCCCATGGAGTGTCCAAGTCTGCTACAGAGGCAAGCAGAACCTACATACTGCCTGCCCTGACGTCCTTCTCCTCTCCCGAGTTTGGAACCAGTTCTACCTTGGGCAATTTTTATATACAGGTGAGCCTACTGGGTAAGCGCTACTGCTAGTCAGGGCCTGTGCATAGCCAGATCTCCACCAAACCACATGGTATCTGCTCATGGAGCTTCACCCAAGGGCCACCTTCCCTTAACAGAGTAAAGTGCTCTGGAGAAACAGGAATCTGTCTTCCATGACAGCCTAGGGACTGGCCCTCCCACTCCATGGAACCCTGCCCAGAGAGGGAGAGGAGGATCACCCTTGGTCTAGCTGAACAAGCCATTCCTACTAACAAGCCAAAGCTGGAAGGGAAAACTTAAAAAAACATCCTGGAGAGGTGGGTGGGCCTGCCTGAGTCTGTGGCTCAGCCAGCCAATGGGAGAGAACCACGTAGCCTCTGTAGCCTCCGCCTGCCCTGCCCTGCCCTCCTTGGGGTGGGGCAACCACAGGTTTGTGGTCAGCCTGGTAGATCCACCTTCCAAAGCTTGCACTTTGAGCTTGGGGGGGGGGGGGGCAGGCAAGGAGGCCACTGAGGGTGAAGCACTGGCTCCAGACAGCTCTGAAGCCCCTGGCTAGTCCCCAGCAGGACTGGGCCCACGCATGTGGTAGTTGGGGCTAAGTCCTTGAGCCCCTTGATGGCTAGACCTCCCAAAGACAGCACCAGGACCCTTTGTAACTCCCAGCCCTGGGATGCAGCCTCTCACCATGAGCAGTGCCAGTAGGGGCAGGGAGGGGAAGACAGGCAGGAAGGCCATGGACCCGACCCCCCTTCCCCCAAGCCAAGAGTCTGTGATCCTGAGTCTCTGATGCTATCACACCCATGCATTTTCTGATCCTTTGCTTTCCTGCCTCTTGGATGTAATTTAAGCAGGTTACTAATCCTCTCACCCTGCTTATTTCTGACTGGTTAACTGAGCCAGGCCTCTACTTCCCAACGCACCTAAGCATCCAGCCCCTGTACCTGCAGTTGCCATATGTCCTTTTCAGAGTTTCCCACGTTGTCCCTGGCCAGACCACACTGTAAAGTCAGAGAGCTGGGATTTATGTAAGCTAGGCCTCCAACCAGCTTTCCCTGTTGAGCAGGACTGTGGGAGACACTTTGAAAGGCCTGCTGGCAACCAGGCAAGATGCCTCCACGTATGGAACTTTAGTTTACAGCAGGTCTTTTAAAAAGTATCTAACCTGCTAGGAGAACAAGCCTCAGACCTCAGAGAATTTCCAGTAGCTTTAAGAGAGAAAATGCTGGCTCAAAAGGCAGGAAAGGCCCACTCAAGTCAGGGTGTGTGTGTGGGGGGGTGCAGCCCTGGGATACCAGGTCAGAGTAAGCTGAGGGGTTCAGCAATGAATCCAGCTGTCCAGACCTCAAACACACTATGTGACAGTACATGGCCAGAGCCATCTCAGACATGCTGCCCACTTGTCCAGATCCAGTTATTTCTGAGTCCTAATTACTGTGAATTGTGTCCTCACCAAATTCACACAACGAAGTATCAGTAGGCAGATGGAGGATGAGATGAGCTCATCAGGGCAGGACCCAGGATGGGATTGGTGCCCTTCTAAGAGACACTAGGCAGCTTGAGGGCACAGTGAAAAAAGGGCAGAATCTTCATCGGCAACCCAAACTACCAGCATCTCATCTTGGACTTCAGTCTTACGTTTCCCAACCCACACTACTGTTACTCTCTTGAGCTGACACATCCATCATGCCTCAACTCTCTTAAAAACTGTTTCCCAGATGGCAGTTTGGCTTCCTACCACTGGCCCAAAGCAGACCACGACCAAATGGAATTTTAAAAAAGCCTTCACTGCCGACCCTGGGCAAGGGTCTTTAATGAGAAATGCCTGACGGCTGCAGAACAGGGTGTGACAAACCCCTGGCCGCCTCTTGCCCCTCTTCTGAGCCTGAGCACCGTGGGATACCGGAAATTCTGCTCCAGCTAGACCGGCTTTGCGCAAATGTGGCAGAGCTGCAAGCGGGAAGAGGAAACACACGGGCTGAAGAAACCTAGCCAGCCCTCCCGGATCTGTCCACCTGGAGATGCCCTGCATGGGCCTGCGGACTCCGGGCTTCTCGTCCGCCCTGTCAGGGCCCCCCTGGCATTTTGCCCGTAGAATCACGGCCACCACAAGACGAGCCATCCCGTGGAAGCAAAAGGGGAGGCGCAGGACAGTAGAGCCTCCGGACCAGCGAGCCTGGCGGCCTGCAGCCCCTCGCTCGGAGAGGCCGGAGTCCACCTGGAGGCCGCCCCGCTTCCAACAAGGCTCCGGACGTTCCAAAGCCAGGGAAGCGCTAGCGACTGTCCTGGGTCAGGAGGGACGCGGGTCCCGGGTCTCCGCAGCCCCCACCCGGGCCCTGCAGCCCGAGCCCCCCGCCTCCCGCATGCGCCGTCCGGGCCGCCGCGTACCGAGCGAGGCGGCGGTGCTCCTCAGCCGGCCTCCATGCGCGCGTCGCCCGGTAGACGGGGTGGGCCGGGTACGACGGGGCGGGGCGGGGCGGCCGGACGGGCCAGACGGGCCGAGGGCGCGGGTCGCGCGGCATGCCGGGAAGCGCTTCCCAGGCCTCCGCGCATGCGGACACGAGGCTCCGCCCCCCCGGCCCCGCCCTCCCACCGGGCGCCTCCGGGTCCTAGCGCGCAGGCTGTCCTCTGCCGAATGCGTGTAATGGGTTAGTGTTCCTAGGCGGCCGGAGGAGGCTCGGGGTCCAGCGACATTGGAACCAAAGGGCTCAGAGAGGGGCGGGACCTCAGTTAGAGGCGGTGGGACGCTGGCCGGTGGCTTTCTTGGGGATCACACGCCAGGGGGAGTGGGTCCTGCAGAACTAAGGGGCGAGGGGCCGACCCAGCCAGCTACCCGGGCAGACAGCTACCCTGGCCTTTGGGACCGAGAGCCCTGATGCTGGGAGTCCGGACCCTGCGCCATCCCAGTGAACAGCCTCTTCTGAGGGCTGTTATCCCAGGGCTCCAGCTAGCCGCAGTCCTCAGCTACTGCCGCACCCTGGCGGCGCAGGGAGCACTGGACGTGCTAAGGGCCTGCTGGCGGCCAGTTGGCCCTCCTGGCCAGGTCTCTGGGCTGCTGGTCCACTGCCCAAGCGTTAGTGAGTGGGTGGAAGGAGCCTGGTGGGCATCTCTCCGCTTGAGTGCACACCAAAACAAGCAATTTGGAGGCCAGAGTGGGGACTGCGCAGTGACTACCCAGCGCAGGCCCTGGCAGAGAGACCCTCTACTGGGGAAGTAAGCTCTGTCCAGCTCTCAGCTGCCCCATCCAATCCTTTCAGGGTCCAAGAGGACAGGTTGTCTCCTTGGCCCTGGGTTTTGGAGAAGCTGCCTTTGACACTGGTGACTCCTAGGGGGTCACAGGTCCTCACATCCTGAGCATCTGAATGACCACCCTGGAGCCTGGCCATTGGGGATATGATCCTCACCCACTCTGGGTCCCCTCCAGCAGGCTGGGCTGTTGCCTGCTGAGCTGTTACACAAGAGGCTCACAGAGAGGCTCCTGGTGGGTGTTTGCTGCCCTGTTGTCGCCATCTTCATGGTCTGAAAGGGCCTGGCCTCGGGGTGACCTCTGCCTTCATTGCTCCTCAGTGAAGCATACTCTGGCCTCTGGGCCTCCCATTCATCCCTGATGATCACTGTCTTTGTGCTCTGTGATCACCTCTTCCCTTCTGGTCAACTCACCCACATTCACGCAGAGCAGAGACTACCAGCTCCACCCCCTCGTTAACCAGGCACAAAGAGGTCTACCCTGGGTTACTCTCCAGGCACCTGCAGTGTTTGGTTGAAAATTTCAGCATTAGGCTGGTGTGTCAGGAGGGGGACTGGGTTCCAGTTCCGGCTGGCTGGGATGGGTGCAGAATTCTCCCTGGGCCTGTCTGCTTCTGTGGAACAGACCATGGTGTCACCTGCCCTGTCTGCCTCTGCTTAGAGGTAGAGGGAAGAAGGCAGCGGATGGGATGGCATTCCAAGAAGATGCTGACCCAAGACTACCAGAATTTGAATTTGGCTAGGTGGCTGTTGGGCGAGAAAGGAGATGGTAACCATAACTCTAACCTGCTGGTGTCTGCAGGGCTGTGAGAGACCAGAAACACAAGACCAGTCATGCTGAGGGGAAACTGAGGCAGATCCCCACCCAGTAGAGCCTGAGCCTCCCTTGCATCTTAGACTGTGTGGGAGAACAAGACACCAGCTTGAGGGTTGATTTTTAACAGCTGTTCCCAAGCAGGCTTTTGTTGGGGCAGGTTCTGTTCCGCCATGGACTGAGTGGGTGACCATTGTCCCAGAGCTGGCCAAACTGAAGGCTCCTCTGCTCAGCAGAACAACCACAGGAGGGGCTTCTTTAAAGTGAGCCATGCAGAGAGCCAGGAGAAGGCTTAGGGTGAGAGGGGTCAATATGGCCAGGGGAACCCATGGCCCTTAGGAGGAGACAGTAGATCAGTCTGAAGCCATTTCTGAGGGGAAGGTCTTCCTTGGCCCCCAGTCAGCTTTTCAGGGTGTACCGAGGAGAGGCCAGGTAGAGCAGCATAGATCATTATGAACCAGACATACTCCACAGACTTAGAGCTGGGACAGAGGTCAGAGAAAGAGTCTCACCTGCCTCAAGTGACCAGAACCATCCTTTTCAGGGTCCCTTGGCTACCTGCTCCCTGGCCACCTGCTTCCAGAAGGGTGGGATGGCTCATAGGGGCACAAAGCCAGAGGACACTTCTGAGGAGTGAGATGGTATTATTCCCAGTACCCACAGTGCTGTCTGCTTCTGCAAGATGCTGATCTGAACCCCCTCCTCCGAAGTGGCCCCAAGGCCAGCTCCACACAGGAAAGGGCAGCATGCTTACTCACAGCACCAACCTCTCCAGACAGGACTTTGCTGAGATGTCCCATTAGGATGTAGCCAAGACCAGAGGTAGGTAGTGGCTACTTTCTTGGCCCCAGATTCCAAGGTGGCTCCAGTGGGCCCAGCCTCTCACATGTCTGTCTCTGCTTGGAATAAGCTCAGTAGCAGCATGCCCAGACACTGTCTGTGGTCAGTGGCGTTTATCTTCACTAGCAGGGAAACAGGACTTAAGAGGAAAGTGCAGCAGCTGGACTTGGTACTACCCAGACCAGAGCTCCTTGATGACTACGGATTTTTACCCCTCAGAGCCAAGTCCCTGGGTATGCAGACTGAGCTGGAGTTGTGGGGGTGGGGTGGGGACAGCACATTCAGAGCGGGCTATGCACCATGTGCAGGAGGCAGATGGCTATGTGGGCAAGGAGGCTCAAGGAGAAGGAAGGAGGCCAGCACCCTGGGGTTTTCCTAGGTTACTCTGGCTGCCACATCAGCTCACCATTGGGAAGGGGCTGGTTTGTGAGTAGGGCCATGGGGCCAGGAACTGTCATCCCTAGAGGAGCAAGTAGCCTAGAGGGTGGCCATCTGGGTTCCCAGGGTTCTTTCTCAAAAGCCCCTTCCTTGCCAGGCATGGTGGCGCACGCCTTTAATCCTAGCACTCGGGAGGCAGAGGCAGGCGGATCTCTGTGAGTTCAAGGCCAGCCTGGTCTACATAGACCCCCCCCCAAAAAAGCCCCTTCCCCATATGAGGAAATGTTGAATGCTATCTGGAATGCTAGGTCAGGGACAGTGTCCTGGGTCAGGTGACAGTGAGCTTTCTGGGGATAGGATGCACAAACA